TGTGCATTTCACCCATGTCCTAGCCCCTGACAATCACCAATTTATTCTGTTTCTATGAGTTCAGCTTTTTTAGATTCCACATGTAAGTAAGATCATATAGTGTTTGTCTCTGACTTATTTCACTTAGCATAATGCCCTCAAGGTTCATCTATGTTGTCACAAATAGCAAGATTTTCTTCTTTTTATGGCTGAATAATATTCCACTTATACTTATCCATTCTCCTATGGATGGACAGTTTGTTTCCATGTCTTGTAGTACACATGGGGATGCAGATATCTCTTTGAGATGGTGGTGTCATTTTATAAAGCTTACATTCTATCTGGGGGAGGTGAGGTGACGTATATAATTTCAGATAGCTTTGAAAATGCAGAAAACCAAGAAAGGGGTCAGTGAGAAATGTGGGGTAGGGAATAGTGGTGATGCTATTTCATATAGGGTGATTAAGGAAGTAAAGTTTGAGTAGAGACCTAGATGAAGCAAGGGAGTTAGTCAGTAATTACCTGGGGGATGAGATTCTAGAAAGAAAAAAACAGTTATTGCAATAATGGCCAAGTAGGCCATGGTGAAATGTTTGGGTTTTATTCTGAGTGTGATTGGTAGCCTAGGAAAGTTGTAAGCAGAAGAGTGATATGGTCCAATTTACATTTTTTTTTAAGATTTTTTATTTATTTGCGAGAGAGAGAATGAGAGAGAGCATGAGAGGGAGGAGGGTCAGAGGGAGAAGCAGACTCCCTGCTGAGCAGGGAGCCCGATGTGGGACTCGATCCTGGGACTCCAGTCGCTTAACCAACTGAGCCACCCAGGCGCCCGGTCTGATTTACATTTTTAAAAGGTGAGTGGAAAATTCATTGTAGGGAAGTAAGAGTAGAATCAGGAGGACCAGTTACAAAGCTATTGCAGCAGTCTGGATCAGAAGTCTTTTTACCAAAATAAACCTACAAGTAAAAAGTACTCTCAGAGATACACAAAGATTTTCTAAGGATGCCAGGACACAGATAGGTTTATGGAAATCAATTTCCAGATCATCATCTTCCATATTTCGCCTTTACTGGGAAAAATCTTTCATGAAGTCCTCCCTTTTCACAATTACTCTCTTGCTTTACAAAACCAAAGTGGATCTAAATCTTAGTGGTTCATTGCCCCAGGGCCTAGGCTATGAAACTAAGGGAAAATTCAAATATTGATGTTAGCAAAGCTTTCTCTAATGAAGGTACCAAGGGACTTTTTGTCTTTTGTTCTTTGTGGTGAAATATGGCAGTAGAGGTATTGCGATAGTGTGAATTTCTTATATGTTGTAGCCTGGAGTTGTGGAACTGGTAATAATTTTTAGTGAGTTACCTGTGAGATTATTGTGCAATGAAGATGCAAAAAACCCTCTCACAATGTAATTTATAATATTAATTTTTTAATGAAGAAAGATTTAAGGGTATCACCAAAAATGTAAATAAGCTTAATGATTTCACTAAAGATGCTTGTGAAACTTGATATAACTTAAACTAGTATTATTCGTTGCAAAAGCAAGGAAAATTGTACAAGACTACAGAAAAGTTACACTGTTAGAAGATCTCTCACTGCATTTACAGCAGTTTTTTTTTTTTTTTCCAGAAACCACTGTACTTCATAGAATACATGGAATAGCAGAAGACATGAATTAGATTGTAGGGGAAAATTGCCTTATAGGTTAATGAATACATAGATGATTCCAGTTGTTCCCAGCTAATAACTATGACTCTTCTTCCAGTAAAGAAAACGGCATTATTAATGAAATTTTGACATTTGGATTCTTTTAGTAATACAACTGTGAAGAGATTTTACAGGACTTAGAATACTTTTCTTTGAATTGACTTTATTTGAATAGATTAAGAATGGTGCCCAAGTACTTCCCAGCATAGAACTGTAAAGAATGGGCAACGGGGGGACTTATTGTTCATATCTGTACTTTAAATCCTATTTTAATTTTAGAACACTATACATACAGTCCCCAAATTACAATGGTTCTACTTGTGATTTTTCAGCTTTATGATGGCATAAAAGTGATACATATTCAGTAGAAACCATTCTTCAAATTTTGGATTTTGGTCTTTTCCTGTGCTAGTGATATGTGGTACAATACTCTCCCAAGACGCTGGGTGGCAGCAGTGAGCCACCCAGCTCAGCCAGCCACCTGATCACAGGCTTAAACAACCCAAACACTTACAACCATTCTGTACCCATACAACCATTCTGTTTTTCACTTTCAGTACAATATTCAGTATAGGACATGAGATATTCAAGACTTTATTATAAAATAGACTTTGTGTTAGATGATTTTGTCCAGTTGTAGGCCAACGTAAGTATTCTAAGCACTTTTAAGGTAGGGTAGGCTAAACTATGATGTTTGGTAGGCTAGGTATATTAAATGCATTTTTTACTTACCATAGTTTCAACCTAAAATGGGTTGACCGAGATGTAACCCCATCTCAAGGAAGATCTGTATTCACAAACAGGCTTAGGTTGCCTAAAATTTGAGTCCTGGTTTCTATGGAACATTCAGTGTTGACCCTAAAATAATTGTGTTAAGATCAGAACATTAAAATTGCATCTTTTTAAAACAGCATGTGAGGAAATAGAGTCAATTCATACCTGGCTCATTATAAAACGTGAGGTAGCTTGTCATGAGGATGTGTATTAACACATTTATTTGTACTGAAAAATGAATCAGACTGTCTGGCCATCGTAAGATTCCTTGACAGGAGAGGTTTTAATGTAGCAATAAAAATGAAATGAAAGCCCAATTAGAGTGGGTCATGCAGAAAATGGGAAAGTAGAAGCAGTGGGCAAGTCTTTTTAGGCGGTCTGATATAAAAGGTAATGGAATTAGAGCAAAAAATGGAAAGGGATGTGAAATATAGGGAGGGAGGAATTTATGAATAACTAGAGGTATTAATTACAGGAGCCAAGTCTTATTAAATAGGTAGTAAAAGATAGGATCCAGTGTAAAAGCGGCAGGTGCAGGCTTAAATAGCAGAAGGGATATAAATCATACAACATAAAGGAGGGAAGGCAGACCAAGATATGTAGATAGGTTCAAAGATTTGGGTGTGTAACTGAAATTATTCTCAGAGTTTCCAGTGGTATGAGAGAGAAAGTCAACAGCTAAGAATAAGAAAGAGGAGAGGATTTTGGAGGTTTGAAGAGTGAGGAGAATGAAGCAGTGGTAGGAATACTGGATGGCACAAAGTCTATTTAAAATTTATGCTCATAAATTTGAGCTCATGTATTTTTCTCTGGCAAGGTTCAGCTGCTCCTATTGCTAGTGCAGAATAGATGGAGAGTTGAGTTGAACTACATCTAGGAATTTGCCAGCTGAGCTTCTCTGAGGGACAGGAAAATGGGGGAAGTGGAAATATATGTTAGTGACTATGGTGATGAGTTGTGAAACCTAACCTGGGTAAAGAAGTGGAGGAATGGGGGGATTAATGATCAGTGAAGAAATGGTAGGGCTAATGGATTAGAGATTCCAGTGGAACATTCTGCAGTAGGTGAGCCAAAAGGAGAAGATGGCCATCCAAAAGTCTGTATATTCCAAGGAGTAACCACTCTACTGATTGCTAAATTGAGATAGTGCTCTTTTCTTTCTATCCTTCCCCGGGAAAATGGAGAGGAGGTCGTTATCACCAAGATAGTTCTCAAATTTGTATTCCATAGCCCTGATCTCTTTGCTAAACCTCAGTTCTTCAGGTTCAGTGCCAGCAAACATTGCCTGGATGCTCTACTCACACTCATATTAATTAGATTTTACTCCTTTCAACAATGTTTCATCCAAATTTACTTGTTCTGGACTACAGTTTTTCTTTTTGACTCTTCTCTAACTCATTCTTCTCCTTGCTCCAATTTTTATCATTATCAAATAAGTTAGCTTATATAATATTTATTGGATCCATTCTCCTGTGTTTATTACATTGTTATGACTTTAGTTTTAGTAACTACTCTTAATAGTCACCCAAATGGTATCCTCTTCATAATCTTTTTTTTCTAATACAAAGTTAGTTTTCAAAATTAAATTCTTAATAACCACAGCCCTTCTCAAAAACTTTTAGGGGGTTTCCACTTTTTTAGAATAATGTCCAACCTCTATAGCATAGGCTCCAGCCTTTTCTTCCATTTTCATTTCTATAACCTTTTCTTGGAATCTCCCAGGGCCCATGAACTTCTTGGCCTTTCCAGTGCCATCCCGTCTCCATATCTTATTGCCTGCATTTCCCTCTTCCTGAGATACCTTCCCCACATATCTGAATGTTAAAATCTTTTGGGCACAAACTTAAATGCTACCTGCTCTATAAAGTATTTTTAATCATTATAGACATATAGTAGTACTAAAACTATTTTTACATATATTTTATATATATTTGACATCTATTTTATATATATTGTATATATATTTTATTTTAATCCTTACAACAATAAAATGAGGTCTTTTTTTTTAAAGATTTTATTTATTTGCGAGACAGAGAGGGTGCATGAGTGGGGGGAGGGGCAGAGATTGAGAGAGAGAGATAATTTGAAGCAGATTCTGTGCTGAGCGCAGAACCCGACACGGGGCTCGACTCACAGCTCTGAGATCATGACCTGAGCGTAAATCAAGAGTGGACACTCAACTGACTGAGCCACCCAGGCGCCCCCAAATGAGGTCTTATTTAGCACCATTTTAAAGATGCGGAAACTGGGAATGAGAAAATTATGTAAATTGCATATTAATTGCATAGTATTAATTGTATAGTAATTAAATTGGCACTGTCACTCTTGCCTTTAAATAACTTATATGCTTATTTTTCTTGTTTCCATGCTTTGTCCTCAATGCATTGGGTCGAGGCTTTGTTCATAATAGTCTTATTTGAACGAATGAAAGACTAGATTCATGGAAGCATAAGTGTTTTTCATAATTATTATTTGAGGGATACGTGTTTTAAAGTAATTTGGGTGCATATTAATAGCCTTTTTTTATGTTGTGACATTTAAGTCTGGCAGGAAGAAGAGGAAAATCACCAAAGCTGAACGATTAAAGCAGCTACAAGAGGAGGAGGAAAGACGGCAGAAAGAGGAAGGTACAAAATACACAGTGTTACTATTTTCATATGCAAGAAATATAACAGTAGGTTGGTATTTCTACATTCTTTTAAAAGAATTTTCGAAATTCTTCAATTTTTCAAATTTCATCTGTTTTATAATAAATGTCTGCTGTTTAAAGGGTACCCAGAAAGTTCTGTTAGTACACACCCATCACTTTCAGAAGTGGAGTTGCCAGGTAAAATACAGAATGCCCAGTTAAATTTGAATTTCAGATAAACAATGGATAATTTGGGATAATTTGCCTCATGCAATATGGAACATATTTAAATTTTTTTTAAAAGGCAGTTCTTTTATCTGAAATTCAGGTTCAACTAAGCACTCTGTATTTTTATTTGCTAACTCTAGCAACCCTATCTTGAAGTGTTTGTATTTACTGATGAAATCAGAGGCATTGGTGCTTATTGTACAGTAAGAATTCTGAAACTCAAATTCACTAAATATAGGAAGTAAACACTAGCAAGAAATGTACAGAGCAGCCTAAGTTCTTATAGTTTAATAATATTTATTTGCCAAATTTAAAGAGGATTTTCATTTGTAAAAAAAAAAGTCAGTTGAAAATTAATAAAAATATCAGTTATTTAAAATACCAAAAAGTGATTTTAACAATCTGACTATTTCAAGTGGTTGTAGCTTTTAGCATTAAGAACATGTGTGATTCAAATTCAGGTTTTAAAAGTCTGTCCTCTGGTTCCATGTTGATTTTTTTATGTGTAATCATTATAAATCCTTCTTAGGTGGCTCATGATAAGAATACATTACCAGGATCTAGATCTTGGGGCAAGTTTTATTATATTGGATTAAACTCATTCTTCAACATATATTTCATATTCTGTTTTTAATAGTGAAAGCAAGAGAAGATTAGGGTAGTTGCTTCTGATGATGTAGATGTCACAAACTTACGGAAATCTTCTGAAGACTTTACCTCTCCTTAATTACCCATGATAGATCTGTCACTTTTTATTGGTTAAATCATTATTGGATTTCTATAAACTTTTTGGGCAAGAGAAATATCATTATAGTCCTATTTTCTTGGCCAGAAAGTTTGAGTCATGTTGTTTTTTGAAAGAAGTCTAGCATTCATCTTATTTCTACCACATGATATGGTTGTGACTTCTATAAAATATTCCACCACCCTTACATCTTGAAAATACTTTAAGCAATTTTAAGGGCTTAAAAATAGATTGATTTAATCACTGAGAAAAAATTTTTTTGGTTCTTTAGAGGAGGCTCGTGTGAAATATGAAAAAGAAGAAATGGAAAGGCTTGAAATACAACGGATTGAGAAAGAAAAATGGCAACAACTTGAAGCAAAAGTACATAAACATTAGTAATATTTTTTTAAAAGATTTTGTTTATTTGTCAGAGACAGAGAGAGAGCTTGTGCACACAAGCAGGGGGAGCGGCGGGCAGAGGGAGGAGGAGAAGCAGGCTCCCCGCTGAGCAAGGACCTCAATGCAGGACTCGATCCCAGGACCCTGGGATCATGACCTGAGCTGAAGGCAGATGCTTAACCAACTGAACCACCCAGGCGCCCCTAGTAATGTTATTAATGAAGACACACTATGTGGCTGTCAGATATGTTTGGCCATGTAACGTCACTCTCCCCCATACCTACCACTAATGTTTAGGCCTTTATAAACTGGTTTAAGTCATTTAATCCTACCAGAAAGTTAGTGAAATTATTACCCACATTTCACAGATAAGGAAATTGAGGAATAGGGAAAGTAAGCAGCAGAGCCAGGATTTAGACATAAATAGCTTTGCTTCGGAGCCCTTGCTTGTAAGCATTGTTATTTTTCTCAATCTGTTTTATAGATAAACAGGGATGCCCCTCCCCCCCCCAAACTCAAATTCTACCTCTCCTGTTTCAGTTTTTTTTTTTAATTTTTTCTTTTTAGAGTTTATTTATTTATTTGAGAGAGAGAGAGAAACAGAGATAGAGAGAGCACAAGTGAGGAGGAGAGGGAGAAGCCGGCTCCCTGCAGAGCAAGGAGCCTGATGCTGGGCTCGGTCCCAGGACCCCGGGATCATGACCTGAGCCGAAGGCAGACATTTAACCGACTGAGCCACCCAGGCGCCCTCTCCTGTTTTAGCTTTACTTCTCTTTTTCACCAGAATTTTTCAATTAGCAATAATCGCGCCTCGGATACACCTCATTGGCTACGATACTGCCACTGTGCAAAGCTTTTCACCAGAATTTTTCAGATCGGTAGTTCTGAAATATTTTGATCTGAGGAGAAACCTCTTAAGTATTAAAAATTGAAGACCCCCAAGGAGATTTGTTTATGTGGATTATATCTATCAATATTTACCATATTAGAAATTCAAACTGAGAAATTTTAAGATGCATTATATTAATAGATATTAAATATTGTTAAAAAGAAACATTAGTAAAAACAAAATATATTAACATTTAAAGAAAGAAAACAACTATACATAGAATTACATATATAATATATATTATTGATTTATAATTGACATATCATATTATATTAGTTTCAGGTGTACAACATAGTGATTCAATATTTGTATATATTGTGAAATGATTGTTATAATACAATAGTTACATCCATAACCACACATTATATATTTTTTAAATTAGGGAAATAAGTGGCATTGTTTATATTTTTAAAATCTCTTTGATGTCAGACTTAACAAAAGACAGCTGGATTCTCATATCTACTTCAGTATTTTGTCTGTTTCAGTGTGTTGTTTTGATTGAAGTATATGAAGAAAATCTGGCCTCACAAAGATTCATAGTTGGAAAAGGAATATTTTCAGATAACTGTGAATATTCTTTTTGATACTATACCAAAACTCAATAAATCATAGTTTCTCAATATGGAATCTGAAATCATATCAATGAGCTTTTCATGCTCTGTTACACTAAAACATTGATTTATCTTACTCTTTAAGTAGATCTTGTATCCATGTATGATTCAGCAATATCATGCATTCGTTGCTTGGAAAAATTCGGTTTACTGAATTATTTCCTTCCAAATACTGACACATTTTTATTGTTCATTATCAAAAATCACATGCACTAATTTCATCTCCAATCAAATCAGAAAGGTTTTTAAGGAAAAAATGTCAAGCTCACAGCGTAGATATAAGTTTTCCTAAAATTTGAATTTTTTTCCTTAAAGATTCATTTATTTGAGAGAGAGAGAGAGCAGGGGGGAAGGTCAGAGTGGGAGGGAGAGAGAGAATCTCAAGCAGGCTCCCCACTGAGCACAGAGCCCCACGATATAGGGCCTGATCCCATGACCTGAAATCATTACCTGAGCTGAAACCAAGAGTCGGATGCTCAACCGACTGAACCACCCTGGTACCCCTTTAAAATTTGAATTTTTATTTGAAAACTTGAATTTTATCATTGGTAACAAATACTTTTAGTTGTTCCCTGGAATTGACATGCTCAATTCATTCATTTTTGAGAGGTTCTGCCAAGATACTCTAATAATTGCACAAGTATTTCTCAAGACAGTCTTGTCCTTTGATATGCAGCAGAAGTGCTTTATGTATACTTCCCATTTTATCACACAGAATAATCAAAAGACATACACTGATGAGTTGACATTTAATAAAATTAATATTTTTCACTTCATCACATCATTCTTATGTGAAACTGGCTGTTTCCCACCCCTCTCCCCCAAAGAATGTGCCCCCTAGTACAGCTTGTGACTTGATTTGTGCTGAGGCACCAGGAATTTTATACCATTTTGTGCCATTAGTGCAAATGTATACACAGCAAAAAAGGCAGATACTGTTTTAGTATTATTATGTAGACATATTTGACCTCACAGATCCCTAAAGAGTCTTGGGGACCCACTAGGAGTCTGCAGATCATTCACAAACCACAGTTTCAGATGAAACCTTTTGGAAATAGCAGTTACATTCAAACTAACTTTAGTTAGTGTTCATTTTGAAAGTATTTTGTCAGTGAAGTTGAGAGGCTACTTGCGAAGCATAAAGGTAAAATTAAAGAGCTAGCCAATGTATTTATCTCCACGTAACAGGATCTGGAAAGGAGAAATGAAGAACTTGAAGAACTTTATTTATTAGAGGGGTGTTTTCCTGAAGCAGAGAAATTGAAACGAGATACTAGATTGCTTTCTCAGGTAAGACTGATTTGTGTGTGTTACGTGTGTGTGAACTAATACTTTTGTACCACAAGAGGGAGTTATAGTCTGATATCCTTTTTAATCCTCCCAAACTTTGACTTTGTAAAACATCTCTAATCTGACAAATCTCCTATATTGCATGTAGCAAAGTAAATGCACATAGCTTTGTAGAAAACTATTTGTCAATAATAAGACCCTTGAAATTTTTATATCTTTTGACTCTGATTTAATTTTGGGGAATCTATACTGAGGAAATTATTCTAAATTAAAATAGAAAACTGAGCTTCATGGAATCTAGTGTTGCTCAAAACAGCGTAAGTTTGGAAACAATAAAGATTATTATCAGGAGAAGAAGAAAAAACTAACAATATGGCAAAAGATGATGGCGGTATAATTTTAAGCAAAAAACTGTAAGTACAATATGATTACAAATGTAGAATTTGCATAGATTACAGAATGAATGGAAGAACTCATACTAAAATGCCAATGGTGATTAACAATTAGTAACAATTTGAGAAGTGGAAATTAGCCTGTGTTGGCTTTTGTAAATATAGAAGTTATATGATTAGAGAAGAAAGCAAAACAAAACCAACTCATAAATACTGTTTTAAAAATATGACAATTACTAGAATTGTTATTTATTTAAATTATGGAAGCTTTTAAATTATTTTGATGAAGAGAATTTTATTATTTTAGAGGTATCTCAAGTAAGCAGTTAAAGTCATAGTACTTGTTGCCTAAATTGGAAAAACTAGGTTATGAGAACTGATACTTTGAAAAAAGTTATTTAATCTTTGAATTTTCATCAGTGTGAACCTTCAGACATTTTTATTCCACAGTGGAAACACTACATTCAATGTGATGGGAGTCCTGATCCTTCAAAATCCCCAGAAATTAATACTTTCATTAGCCTGTGGAAAGAGGAAACAAATGAGACTCTTGAGGAAGTGATTGCGAAGAGTAAACTAGTGCTAAATGTAGGTATTGGGATATTATTTTATAATTTTAAATTATTTAAATTACAAATTGTCTGATACTGACTCCAAAATAAAAATAAATTGAATAACTATCATACTTGCCAATTAGTAACACTACTGCTTGCTTGGCTATGCAGAAAAATTATTTGCTAATCTTTACATTTTTTTTTAACAGTCCAAGTGCATTTTATTTTATTTTTTTTAACAGTCTTTTCATTTTTTTTTATTTTTACAACTCCTTTTTAAAATTTTTTATCTTTGCCACCTTAGATATAAGGTCAACATAACATAAATGTGAAACATTATGTGTGTCTAATCCAAGCAGGAAAAAAAAATCAAGTTGCATCCATTTATGTAGATAACTTGGGGGAAAAGTGCATGATTTTATCCTGAGTTGAAATTTTCCACTATTCTATGATTCACTACAGATGTTTTTCAATGTTAACTATGTGCCAGGCACCTATCCTTTAAGGCATGAAAGTACAAAGATGAGTAAGAACATAGTACCTTCTACTTATGCAAATAGGATGGACAGACTACCCTGAGGATCTACCACATTATGATACACTTAAAAATGCTAAAAACAACTTTTTTTAATGATATTTAAATTCATTGCCTACAGGCGCCTGGGTACCTCAGTCGGTTAAGTGTCTGACTCTTGGTTTTGGCTCAGGTCATGATCTTATGGATGGTGAGATTGAGCCCCACATGGCTCCGTGCTCATCAGGGAGTATGCTTGAAGATTCTCTCCCTCTCTCCCTTCCCCTACTCTAGTGCTCTATCTCGCACGCTGTCTCTCTCTCTCTCTAAAATAAATATGGGGTGCCTGAGTGGCTCAGTCATTAAGCGTCTGCCTTCAGCTTAGGTCATGATCCCAGGGTCCTGGGATCCAGCCCTGCATCGGGCTCCCTGATCAGCGGGAAGCCTGCTTCTCCCCCTCCCACTCCCTCTGCTTATGTTCCCTCTCTCGCTGTCTTTGTCTCTGTCAAATAAATAAATAAAAATCTTTAAAAATAAATAAATAAAATATATAAATCTTTTTTAAAAGATTCTATTCATTCGAGAGTGAGAGATCACGAGAATAGGGAGAAGTAGAGGGAGAGAGAGAAGCAGACTCCCCACTGAGCTAGGAGCCCAACGTGGGGATTGATCCCAGGACCTGGAGATCATGACCTGACCCAAAAGCAGACACTTAACCATTTGAGCCATCCAGGGACCCCAATAAATAAATCTTTAAAAAAAATAAATTCATTGCCTAGTTCAAAACAAAGTAAGGGAAAATCTTAAGAGGCCAATTCAGAAAAGCGGGCAAGTCTCAAAGTCAGTGGCTTCCCAGAGAGCCACTTCCCCAGAGGCTCTCTGTTAAGTCTTGGGTTAACATTGGTTTAAAGGACCATCAGGAGGCAAAGCCTAAAGTATGTGAAAGGTGGCAAGTTGAATCAGACATTTCTTATATGGCTGGGAGCCTCCAAAAGTTATTGTGGGTAATAGGGGAAATACTCGGCAAAAGATGATACGAACTTGTTTGGCTCATCTTTAGCTTAGAGAAGGGAAACAAGAAAATTACTCTTAATCACAAGTGAATCCAAAGTAGATTGGGAGAATTTAGCAGAATATAGGAGAGATAAAGAGATGGAAAATATGAATGAGAAGTTAATAAATATGTATGATAGAGGAAAAGAGGCGAAAATACATTGAAAAGGAGTACCAGAAAGAGATGCAGAAGAATGAGGGAATGACAATATTCAAAGAGAAAATGTCTGACGTTTTTCCAGAATTGAGGAAAGATACAAACCCTCAGAGTCAAGAAACCCAACAAATCCCAAGTTAGGATGAATAGAAAAATGCACACTAGACACACCTAGATAATAATTGAAACTAGAAGGGAGGGCGCCTGGGTGGCTCAGATGGTTAAGCGTCTGCCTTCGGCTCAGGTCATGATCTCAGGGTCCTGGGATCGAGTCCCGCATCGGGCTTCCTGCTCCTTGGGAGCCTGCTTCTCCCTCTGCCTCTCTCTCTCTGTCTCTGTCTCTCATGAATAAATAAATAAAATCTTTAAAAAAAAAAAAAAAAAGAATTGAAAAAAAAAAAAGAAACTAGAAGGGATTCACTGCTCTTGGTCCTTTTATCTTCTAATGCTTTTTGTTACAATTCCTCTCCACCTTTTTGTGTTTCTTATCACTGTGGTTTACTTCTATGTGTTGTAAAATGGAGTAACTCCAGATTCTGTTAAGCTCTTAACATGCATTGCCTAATTTGATCTGGACAAGCTTATGAGACCCATTCTACGTAAAAAGAGAGAGAAATTGTGACTTACTTAGAGTCTCCTATGAGACTTCAGATGGGTCTTACTCTCTTTTTTTTTTAAAGGTTTTATTTATTTGAGAGAGAGAGATACAGAGCAGGAGCGGGGGGAGGGGCAGAGGCAGAGGGAGAAGCAGACTCCCCGCTGAGCAGGGAGCCCCAATGCGGGCTTGATCCCAGGACCTGAGCTCATGACCTGCGCCGAAGGCAGACACTTACCTGACTGAGCCACCCAGGCGCCCCTAACTCTGACTTTCCAAGGGCTCCATGGAGCCTCCCCGACACCATGAGGTGTTCTTGCCATTGCATATACTCTCTGCCATGCTGCCATGGCAGGATGCTGGTCTCTGATGCTCTGCAAAAGTCGAGAGAGAGTGGTAAGTAGCAGAAGTAGTAGAGGTCATCAGTGATAAGCTGGAAGTGAAATCTTCTTATTATGAGAGTGGGTTACAGAAATGGACATAATAAATAATAGGGAAAATGAAAAAAAAATAAGTAAAACAAAACAGGAGATGGGAGAAGAGAATGATCATAGCAATAGGAAACTAAAGCAGGCAGCACATGAGGAACAGAAAGAATTGGATAGCATCAATGACATGGTGAACACCAGGTTCCAAATGATCAAATTTATTTATTTGGCAAGCTCTTAAATAATACTATGGCAGGCTTTAGAAATAGTAACTTGCTGAATTCTTATAATAACCCTATGAGGTAGGCACTATTATTCCCATTTCACAAATGAAGAAGGCACAGTGATGTTGTCCAAGATCACACTGGTAGTAAGAAGTGGCTAGGATTGAAGCCCTGCATTCTGGCTTGAGTCCATACTGCACTATACCGCTATGCTGCCTCTCTTAATTTAGAAGTTTATTAGGTATTTATTATGTGTCAGTGTTCAAAACTAAATCTTGCCACAATACAGTATTAGTTGTTCCTGTGACCTTGCTGTGCCTCTTATATATACCTCCACTATACTATACTAACACTATAAATACCTCCACTCTCTTCTTGCTTGCATTCTTTTTTTTTTTTTAAGATTTTATTTATTTATTTGACAGAGGGAGAGGGAGAGCACAAGCAGGGGGCATAGCAGGCAGAGGGAGAGGGAGTAGCAGGGAGCCCAATATGGGGCTTGAATCCCAGGACCCTGGGATCATGGCCTGAGCTGAAGGCAGATGCTTAACCGACCGAGCCACCCAGGCACCCTGTTTGCATGGTTTCTGAGATGTTAAATGCAATTTTTAATTTTGTTCCTCTAAAGGTACGGTGTTTTTTACTCTGGCTTCTGTGGAGACTTTCTTTATCTTTGATTTTTCTGTAGTTTGAAAATGATAAGCCTAAGTGGAGTTTTTTAGGGCATTTATCCTGCTTCGTGTTCTCTGAGTTTCCTGAACCTGTGGTTTGGCATCTAACATTAATTTAGGGAAATTCTCAGTTATTATTATTTCAGATATTTCTTTTGTTCCTTTTTCTCTTTTTTCCCCTCCCGGTATTCCCATTATGTGTATGCGACACCCTTTGTAGTTGTCCCACAGTCCTTGGATATTTCATTCTATTCTTTAAATTGTTTTTTCAGGTTTTTGTTGTCTTTGCCATTTGGTTTTCAAGGATTCTTATTGCTATGTCCTCTGGCGCAGAGATTCTTTCCTCAGCTGAGTTCAGTCTACTAATAAGCTCACCAAAGGCATTCTCCGTTCCTGTTACAGTATCCTTTGGTCTAGCATTTCAATCTGGTTCTTTCTTAGGATTTCCATCTCTCTCCTTTACATTGCCCATATATTCATGTATGCTGTCTGTTTTATCCAGTAGAACCCTTAGCATATTAATCATAGTGGTTTTAAATCCCTGGTCCGATAATTCCAACATCCCTGCCATGTGTGGTTCTGATGCTTGCTTTGTCTTTTCAGATTGTGGTTTTTGCCTTTTAGTATGACTTGTAATTTTCTCCTGATAGCTGGACATGATGTACTAGGTAAAAGGAGCTGCTGTAAGTAGGCCTTTAGTAATGGGACTGTGAGGTAAGGTGGGGAGAGGGGAAGACCTGTGAAATTAGTTCTCAGTCTTTTAGTAAAGCCTGTGTCTCTGCGTCTCTGCATCTCTGCATGGTGAACTTCACAAATGTTTTCAATTGTTTTTATTCCCTCTTAAGTGGGAGGGAATGGCTAGAGCCAGCTGGAGTTAGGTATTTTCTTTCCCCCAGGTGAGTTAGGCTCTGATAAAACTCTTGCAGCTTAGGCTCTAAGTAGTTTCCCCTGAGATCAGGCCTTGTTAAGAACAGAGTACTCTGGTGTATTTCAGAACGGTTCCTTTTCCCCTTCCTCTGCTGGAAATAGGTGGGGATTTTGCTCCTACAGTTATTATGAGAACCTGGTGGAGCATTTGGAGGTAAATCTAACAATATTGTGGGCCCTCTTGTTCCATGACTGTGTTCTCCTGGAGTTTTTAACTCTCAAGAGTTGTCTACACTGAGTCTCAATAATTTGTCATTTACAATTCACTTGGCACTGGTTTCTGCAGTGGCTTTTGCTCCTGAATATAGATCTCTCCAGTCTTGAGGGCAGGTGTTTGCCCTATCTCCTCCTCTCTTGTGGATCAAAGAGGAGTTGTTCATTTTTCAGTCTTTTGAGCTTTTTATTTGTTAGGATGGGGTCAGGTCTTCCAAACTCCTTACTTTGGTTTCCGTATCTGTAAAAACAGACATAGTAACAGTATCTAGCTCATAGAGTTATGATGAAGATAGAATGAATTAAAACGTATAAACATTTAGAACAGTTCCTGGCACATAGTAAGTGTAGGAGAGAGAAAATTCTTCTACCCTTCAAGGTCTTTCAGCTGGACTGAGAATTCAATTCATATGAGACAGGAAAATAGGAGAAAAAAGACAATTTTATTACGTGCACATGAAGACCCAATAATGAAATTGAGACCCAAAGAATTGACCAAGGCAGGCAAATTTTAGACAAAGAAACAATAGATTTGTGAGGAATTTACAGGATAAGGAAAACAGGTGTTTGTGAGCTTGAATTAGTAAGGAATTTTAAGAGGAATTTGGGCTAAGGTAGTAGATTAGTAAAAAAGTAACAAGGTTTATTTCCACAGTTTTCTCTACTTGAAAGTCCATGTCTGTGGTGATAAAGATGTCTTTTCTTAGTACAGGGAGGGTATTTTTCATATGGGAGATATGTTTCCTGCTTTCAGGAGGACAGAGGAGGGTCTGAGTGTCTTTGTACCAGTTAATTCTCAAGTAGCTTCAGTTCAAAATGATCACTCTTGTGCCTTTGTGGTTCATTTGGGGGTGACCTGCCCTGGACTCCTACATAAACATTCAGTATATATTAGTAACTCTCTTCATGTCCTCCTCCTCCTCCTCATTGTTGTTATATCATTATTTCTACTGTTCCATAGTCTTAGGTATCCAAGCTGTCCCCGTTCTATTAACTTGCTAATGAAAGCTCTGTTACAGATAGTTGGGAATTCTTATAATGGAGTTTCTGGAGAAAATATTTAACTTTTCCATGATCTTAAATAATACAATAAATATAAGAAAGGATTTTTATATGTTTTACTGAAGATATGATGTGTGCCTCAATTCAAAAGTGATAGAACATCCCCTTTTCACTTTTTCTTTGACTTTTTGTCAGATTATTTTTATAGTAAGTTTTTACATTGTTTTTATTTTATAGTTAATTGATAAATTGAAATTAATTTTATTGGAAACACCACCATATGATTTGGAAGATAAAAATATAGCACAGTACCAAGGATCCATTCTAGAACTGCAGGAGCTCCTTCACCTTAAGTTTAACATAGCCACAGAAATGCTCCTCAGAGTAAGTGTGGTTTTTTTTTTGCTTATAGCTTATGATTAACTTTTTTACGTGTTAAAATTTTACACTATCTGATAAAAAAAAATCCAGTATCTTTTTAATTAAAAGGCTATGGACAAGTCAACACAATAATTTGAAGCACATGTATTTATCCAGATTTAACAGTCGTAAATATTTCTAAAAAAAAAACATAATCAGTATAGTTAAAGTCTAGTTTTTCTTTAAGATTTTATTTATTTATTTGAGAGGGGAGAACACAGAGGGAGAGTGAGAGGGGGAAGCAGACTCCTCACTTAGAGCCCGACGTGGGGCTCGGTCCCAGGACCCTGGGATCATGACCGGAGCCGAAGGCAGACGCTTAACGACTGAGCCACCCAGGCGCCCCCAAAAGATAAATTTATTAAAAAAAAAAAATCAACTATTTATTTATTTATTTATTTGACAGACAGAGAGAGAGACAGTGAGAGAGGGAATACAAGCAGGGGGAGCGGGAGAGGGAGAAGCAGGCTTCCCACCGAGCAGGGAGCCCGACGTGGGGCTCGATCCCAGGACCCTGGGATCATGACCGGAGCCGAAGGCAGACGCTCAACGACTGAGCCACCCAGGCCCCCCTTTTTTTCTTATACTTGCTAAGGTTTAGTAGGATCACTATGAAAATAAATTCACAAAACTTTATATGTTAAACATTCCCTACTCTAGGTAAATCGACAAAGATCGTAATTATTGGTAGTCACTGTATTTTCCCCAAATACCTTGTCATTAATGATAATATCCATATAACTGTAAAATCACTATTATACCTTAGGAAGTAATAATTCCATAATCTAATGTCCAGTCCATATCTAAATTTTGCCTAATATCCTATCCCATGAATGTCTTCTATGGCTGTTTTTGTTTTATTTTGCTCTTTAAATCAGAAAACAACCTAAAGTCACACTTTTTTTTTTTTTGTCTGTTTTACCTTTTGGTTTATTTTGGTCTCTGTATAGCCTTGGTAGAAATATGTTCTAATTACAAAAAGAACTGCAAAGAAGGCTTAAACTTCACTAAATTTATTGTTAGTAGTAATATTCATAATGTAATTTTGGAACTATTTTATTTATATTGTAAGAAAAGCAAGGAAATGTATTACAATTTTTAGTAATCAAGATTATTTTAAGAGAAAAAGATACAGTATGTAAAAGAAAAGATTAGAAAAAATACTGTAATGTTAAATTTGAAATGGAAATATCAGTATGAACCAGATTTCTTTTTAATCCATAAAAATGGAACCAGGTCTAGTTGGGGTAAACAGCCAATTCCAGGTCTGGAGTAGGGTAAGTGAAAGATGAGGTTGAGTTATCTTGTGCTCTAGAAAGCAAATAAATGCTCAGAGACGAATGGAGTCGTATCCAAAGGGAGAGAACTAGCTTAAAGGGGCTCCCACTGGTCAAATTTGGAATAATTTGAATATCATAAAGAATAATTATAATTGATTATAGACCATTGAATAAATAAAAATCCGTGGGTCTAAAGTGATACTCCAAAAAAGGAAGGGGGAAAGGGGGGGTGGAGGGAAAGAACAGTTCTTTATAGAAGAATGCTATCTGATAAATGTAGAAGGAATTGTCAGTTAGAAAATCACCATTTTTTAATCCTCAATGTAATAAATGATAAGGATCATTTTCACTTAAATAATTAGGTGAAAAGTTGTTCAGGAACACATGATTCTCATAGTGCTAAAGTATTAGACCACAGATTACTTACTGATTGGGGAAAAGTGTACTTCACAACTGGGAGATATGGGTACTTATCACCTTAACCAAGTGATCAAGTCCACATTGTTAATAGTGGGACATCATATGCCTCCTGATAGGATGCAACATATAGAATACAACATAACCTACAATGCCTTCTTGCCAAAAATAATTAAGCCTACCTAGACCTAACTTTCAAAAAATAAAGGGGATAGAAGAGCAAGTTAAGCAATATCATGAGGAATCAGATAAATTCACAATGTGGAACAGTTCTATAAGACAACTATTCTGAACACTTCCAAAGTGAATGTCACAGGAGGAAAAAAGTGTGGGGGATCAATTGCTTTTTAAAATATACAATAAATTCAATCTCCAATATTTCTAAGTTTTTATATTATGGCAACTAAATACATACAATATTGACTTAGTTAAGCCATTTAAGAGAGTTAATATGCATCAAGCTATATTAGTCTTTATTAAAACATTCTTAAGAACATCCTTAAATTGTGTTTAATGTTGGATATCAAGTATTGGACTAGTAAAACATGACCCATCTGGATTTCATAAACTGGATATTTTGTTTTCTAAACTTGATGATATTCAGAAATAGACTAACTTTTGTAGTAGCATGATCTACATTTTAATAAGGTACAGGTAAAGAAGCATGTGAATAGTTAAAATCATGATAATGTTAAAATTGAGAAGGGTAATATAATAGTAATCCTGGGAATATAGGAGCAACTTTAATCCTTAGACACAGTAAGAGAAACTGATTGGAAAGGTGAAGAACATTTAATTAGGTTAAATACATTTATATCATTAAGAGAATTTTTTAAAACAATTTTTTTGTTATTTTGATACTTTTACCCAAATTACTCTTTTTAAGTAACGAATCTAACACCTGAGTGATGAAATAACTCCTCTAAATTGCATAGCTTATGAGGCCTCTCATCTTTTATAATGTTTTCTTTTTTCTCTTATAGCAAGCTAGTACATTAGCAGATCTGGACAGTGGAAATATGGAAAAAGTCATTCAAGATGAAAATGTAACTCTATATGTGTGGGCAAACCTCAAGAAGAATCCAAGGTATTCCTGTGGGTGATACTATAGGTCAAAAGACATTGGGAGTCACATCATGATGACCAGGCAGATGCCTGTTGTATACTAGGATGGTATACTTGGGAAGAAACCTATGTTAGGAAGTCAGCCAACTGGGGTTTGAATCACAAACCTGCTATTTGTCTACCTTAGGCAAGTTATTTTCAGCTAATAACATCTTTCTGAGAAATGATAGTGGTAATGATAATTTCATGATCACTTCTTCTGTTTAATCTTCAGTATTTCAAATTAATTGAGTTAGTATGGCAGTGAGTTTTAGGGAAAAATTACCAAAGTAAAAGGAGGCCTAGGTTCTGGTCCCATATGACTGGTCATATGACAATGGAAAGAATTGGAGTTTAATTTTGATATTTAGTAACAGGAAGGGACAAAATATTTTCCAAGTTACATTTGCTGTAAAATACTCTGTCCTTTAAATCTAATGAGACAATATAATAATATAACCCTTTTCATTGTAAAATGTGTTACATATAGAAGAGTAAAAAATTAATCTGTATAATTTTAAAAGAAGTAAAATGAATAGCCTTGTATTAGCTACTCAGATTTAAGAAGAGAATTAGATGGTGTGTTTTTACTAATATAGTGAATAGTAGAGGCAGAAACAAGTTTTGTTTTATCTGAGAGTGATAGTGAGGGGGGTTGCAGGGATGATGAGTTCAACGTTGGACCTGTTCAGTTTGAAATACTTAAGAAATATCAAAGTACAAATGTCTGAAGGCATTAAAAAAAATCTGAGTTGGAGATCTATTTTGAGGAGACATCATATAGATCAGTAGTTTTTAACTCTTGGGGAATCATAGACTCTTACGAACTTATTATATGTACTCATCATAGGTAAGGGCATTTTTGGACTTCTTAAAACCCATTCAGGGATGCCTCTTCCCCTGCCAACCCATCCCAGGAAACATAGAACTCGTGTTGAAAACTGATAACGTAAGTTATGATTCAGGCATCAAAATAATATCCAGGGAGACTGTAGAGGGAAGAAGAAAGAGGGCCTGGATAGAGAGTGGAATAATGTCAACATTTAAGGGACAGTAGGAAAAAGGCCATACAGAGGAAACAGAGAAGGACCTGCCAGAGATGAAAGAGAAGAGTATGGGGTCATAGATCCCAAGAGAGTGTTTTGAGAAGGATTACATTAGCAACTGGGTCCAAATGCTGCAAAGCAAGCAAGTATGCATCAGGACTCCAAACTTTGGCAAAATTCGAGTGGAGAGAAATACTGCTTAGGTATAAATTCTCAACAGACTCAGTTTTTTAGGATCTCATCCTTTTTGTTAAAATTATTAACAGGTACAAAAGTGTCAGATTCTCTGAAACACAAATTGGATTTGAAATTCCAAGGATTTTAGCAACAAGTGACATTGCTCTACGCCTCCTACATACACACTATGACCATGTCACACCACTGCGCCCTGTTCCAACATCATTACAAGAACATACTGCCACAGTAACTCACTTTGTCAAGGATGAAGTTCAGAATGAAGAAGCAGCAATCAGCAGAGAGCTCCAAGAAGAGGGTAAACAACGAGAAAATGAGTCTAACTCAGTTCAGGAAGAAGAAACAAAATTTGAGGAAGAAGGTGATAGTGAAGTACAAATGGTAGGACACATTTTTTAAACGTATACATTTTTTCTTCATGTAATAGGTGTTATTAGATTCCCTTGGAGCATTCTTAAGATTTTTTCCTAAACAACCAGAAGTTGTCTGAAAGCCGCTTTCTTGCCAATGGCTCATTTTTGAATGTGTATATTTTCTTCTTGCCTTCTGTTAATAGTCACTATTCATAGTTGAGCCTGTTGCTTCAACATCCTAAAGTTCAGCACAGGAATTGCTCAGTTATATTTTAGGGACATGCCTGAACAACTTTGAAGCAAATTTAATTTTTATATATTGTATTTCAAACTCACTTAAGGGAACTTGCCATTATATGGAAACTTGAGGTAAATACTTTCACAAACTGAAGGATTATCTTACATTACTTTCTTAGCTTTTGGTTTTGTAAGAAAGAATTTTGTAAAGTACAGTTGATTTTCTTAAAGTATTGTACTGCTGTCTTAAAACTTAAAACTTGTCTTAAAACTTAAAACATCTTTAGACATAATAACATATTTGGGTAATTTAATAATCATATTCCTTTAGTCATTTTCTGCTCTTTTCTATTTCTGGGATTTTCAAGCTGCTTACTTATTATGTTAGTATTAATTGTCTCTTTAGACTTTTTCAGAACTAAGCATCTTTTTTGTTTGGCCATAAACAATCTGCATTTTAAGAAGAACCAGAAATAGTAGGTTTTCCTACAAGTGCCTAAGACATGATGTGTATTGTTTTTTTGGTTTATTTTCTTTAAACACAGGGAAGGGTTAAGAATTGGATTGAATATAAATTTGAAATCAGAATAGGAATTATTAAATAATCTAAGAATATATTTAATTGAAAAATTCCATTTTAAATATTACAGCAGAATAAAAAATTATAGATTCTTCAGCAATATAGAAAATGGATATGACATAATGACCAATACAAAGAATAGTATTTAGAGTATGATTACAACCATGTAAAAATTAAAAGGAGTAGAGGAGCAGAACCCAGAAACCTGTATATAGCTGATACTTTAGAGAGGTGGGACATAATTTGCTCTTTAAAAATTTGTCACTTAAAAAAAAAATTCGTTGAGCAATCCAATAGCTTTTAAAATAAAAAAATTGATTTTATCTCTCAGGTAGCATGGTAGCTTCACTAGATAGAGTTCAACAATATTTACAGTTCTCCTGCCTTTTCTAAACACATTGGATGATTGCTCTCCTCACCCCCCTGAAGTTAGGCATGACTAAGACTTGCTTTAACTAATAAGATGTGAGTGGAAGGGACATACTGATTTCTAAGGTGGGGAGGAATAAGGAATGAGTAAATGGGCCCTGGACTTCACAATAATTAAATATGCAGTAAAAAACAAAATGAAAACCCATTAGCTTAAAATTAGACAGGATTTGTGGTTGAACATTCATGAAAACAGAACAAATTAAAAACAAGGTAACAAAATCGTTGAATGAAAAATGTGTCTAAAAATGTTTGGCCTTGATCTGATTCAAAATATTGGATAATTTCTCCCCCCTCAAGTTCCTTGATTATAATTAATATTTAATGAAAACACACCAACATTTTATTCAAGAATTTCACATTATTTGAAAATTGTGAAATATTTAATTAGAAAACATAACTTGATTACTTGAATTGACGTGGCTAACAATTCTTTCTTATGCACGTGTCTATTAAAATGGCCTTATGCAGTGATAATTTATTATAGTTCTGTTAATGTTGGAAATAATTTTATATTAAAAATATAAGTCTATAAATGCACTGTAATACGGAACAGTGCAATTACAGATTTTTCAAGGTCTGTCATTCGTTACAATAAGGAGCTATTTCCTTTACTCTCAACTAGCGAGCTCAAAGCTACCCCAAACTAAGCTTTCCTCAGTTCAAATGGCTCTTACCAATGTGTTTACATTTGTTTTTTCCATTATTATTTAATGCTTTATTGAACAATTTCAACTTATAACGATAACTAAAGGTATGCCAATGGCTAATGTTGATAATGCCACAAAAGTACGCCCAGGAAAAGCATTCTACCCAGTGGTAAAATGCATGTTTCGTGGAATATTGAAGCTGTCCTCAACTAAATAGTCTAGGAAACTCAGAGTAAAGATCAGCAGGCAATGAGTGATATGGAATAAATAGTTTTATTTTATGAAACTTCTCCACAGCCTGGGAAGCTTGACCAACAGTTGTGTGAATGGTAGACAGGGAAACGTGGCTGGAGGAAACTCTACTATCAGGGGATTTCAAAAGAGAAAATTGCCCAAAAGATGAGTAACATTAATTCACTTAGCGCCCCTACTTTCCAGGAACCAAAACTCGTATCACACCAAACAGGCAGTGTGTATAGAAGCTTATGCATGTGTGCTCTATCATCCTTCCAAAAACCCCACAGCATTCTGAGAAAGTTTATATGAGCTCCACAGAAGCAGAAGGATCCCACAGTAATGGTTAAGTGTGCCAAGGCAGGAGGGAAAAGCCATCTCCTGTGCTGAGGGAGGATTGGTGGGGCGGGATCAGGCCCGGGGAGCAGGAACTGCTTGGAGTGAAGAATCCCCCAGGCCCTTGATGTGCTATGCTGGGTAGGAAAGGAGAGAGAGCAGATTTTAACAATGGTCAGCTGGGCCTATTCTTGCTACCAATTCTGAACAGTGTAAACCACTTTTTGTAAGTGTGAGTAGCCTGCAGAGGGCAAAAAGCACTGGATATATAAAGAGAATCAACAGCTCAAAAAAGGAGGACAAAGATAATTTGATGGAATTTGGGGGGGGGGGAAGTAAAAGAAAGGATGGAAAGAAGTAAGAGTTTCAAATTCTGTATAGAAGTTCCAGAAATTGAGAAGGGAAAGGATGGGTTTAATATAATGATTGCCTTGGGATTTGAAATTTTTATTTATATTTCACTCTACAGATTAAAAAAATTAGTTTTAAATATAAAAACAAACTAATCAAAACTCAGAATGATACAAATATATGAGGAGAACATAGGAAGTTATTTTATTATCTTTACAAAAAGGTCTTTCTTATCAGTGCATTAAAATCAAGACCATAAAAGGAGACTGGATTCAAACATTTGTATAGCCAAATAAACCTCTCTATGAAGAAAGTTGAAAGATGATGAAATGAGAAAACTAAACATATAAAACAAGGGATTAATATTTTAATATAAAGAGCTCTTACAAATTGGTAAGATAATTTCCTAATGTAAAATTAGGCAAAGGACCCGAGTAGGCAGATGAAAGGAGAAGTGCAACTAGCCAATGAAAAAATGAAAAGCTACAGAATCAAGTAAGTGATCAAATTAGAAGCAACATTATACCCTGTCTTCTTACATTGAGCATGAGGGGGAGAAGGCATTTTCACTTACTGTTGTTAGAAATGTAAATTTGTACAATCTTTCTGAAGTGCAGTTTGGTACTATGTAAATGTACCCATTTTAATTTTAGTAATATGAAATAATAGGACAAGTAAATAAAAATGTGCTACATGTTTATTGAGATATTTTTACAGTAGCAAATATAGTCCACAGTGATTATCAAATAGTCAACAGTCAAATATTAGTAGCCATTCAAAATGATATTTTTATTTTTTCTTAATTTTAAATTATTGAAATAAAATTGACATACCTATTAGTTTCAGGTGTACAACATAATCATTTAATATCTTTACTATGAAATAATTACCACAATAAGTCTAGTTAACATCCATCATCACACATAGTTACAAATATTTTCTTCTTGTGATGAGAACTTTTAAGATCTCTCTTAGCAACTTTCAAATATACAGTACAGTATTACTAGTTACAGTCACCATGCTGTACATTACATCCCCAGGACTTGTTTTATACCTGGAGTTTTTTTACCTTTTAGCCATCTTCACCCATTTTACTCCCCCCCCACCCCCAATCTCTGGTAACTGCCAATCTCTTCTCTGTGTTTGACTTCGTTTTTGTTTTTGTTTAGCTTCCACATATAAGTGAGATCATCTAATACTTGTTTTTCTTTGACTTATTTCACATAATGCCTTCAAGGTCCATCCATGTTGTCACAAATGGCAAGATTTCCTTTTTTTTTTTTTTGGCTTAATACTCATTTGTGTATATATACCATGTTTTCTTTATCCATTCATCCATCAGTGAACACTTAACATTGCATCTATGTCTTTAACTACTATAAATAATGCTGTAGTGAACATGGAGGTGCATATATCTTTTCAAGTTAGTGTTTTTATTTCCTTTGGATAAATACCCAAGAGTGGAATTACTGGATCATATGGTAGTTCTATTTTTAATTATTTTGAGGAAGCTCCAGACTATTCTCCATAGTGGCTGCACCAATTTACATTCTCACCAATAGCTTTAATCTTTTTGAAAATAGCTATCCTAACTGGTAAGAGGTGATATCTCATTATGGTTTTGATTTGCATTTCTCTGATGATTGGTGATGTTGAGTACCTTTTCATGTACCTGTTGGCCTGTTTCATGTACCTAATTGTCTTCTTTGGAAAAATGTCTACTCAGATCCTCTGCCCATTTTTATATTGGATTGTTTTTTACTATTGAGTTATGTAGATTCTTTATATATTTTGGATAGTAACCCCTTATCAAATATATGATTTGCAAATATTTTCTTCCATTTGGTAGGTTGCCTTTTCATGTTGTTGATTGTTTCTTCTGTTCTACAGAAGCTTTTTAGTTTGATGTAATTCTACTTATTCATATTTGCTTTTGTTGCCTTTGTTTTTGGTCACCAAGACTAATGTCAAGGAGTTTACCACCTATGCTTTCTTCTAGGAGTTTTATGGTTTTAGGTTTTACGTTGAAGTCTTTAATCCATTTTGAGATCATTTTTTTAAGGATTTTATTTATTTATTTGAGAGAGAGTGTGAGAGAGAGCACATGAGAGGGGGGAGGGTCAGAGGGAGAAGCAGACTCCCTGCCAAGCAGGGAGCCCAATGCGGGACTCGATCCAGGGACTCCAGAATCATGACCTGAGCCGAAGGCAG